CGGGGGAGAATCATTTGTCTTGACTTCGCCCTAGCAACGGCGGACACCACGGGAAACCACGGGACTCCACGGGACACCGCGGGACACCGCGGGTCACCGCCGGACGGGCGGGAGGGGGAGAATCATATGTCTTGACTTCGCCCTAGCAACGGCGGGTTCATTCCTCTCGCGCGCCCACGCAGCTTCGCCTCGCCCGCACGCACGAGACGAACGAAACGATTTCCCGGTTGGGGGTCTCCGTTCCACTGCGAGCTCACCCCCCAACCTCCGATAAGCCCACGCAGTCGCAATAAGAGTGAGGGGGGCGCCCAAACTAGGGCGGAGAATGGAGTCCTCCAGAATTAATGTAGAACAGCCCGTCGCAGACGCAGACGCCGACGTGTTTCTGGAAAAAATGTGGGTCGGTCGGTCGGTCCGCCGCAGGCGCCGACTTGGTTGAAGCGAGGTCGCGGATGGGTCGCGGGTGGCTCGCGGCCCACCCGCGACATCCTGAGGAATCCTGAGAAACCCTGAGGAATCTTGAGGAATCCTGAAGACGATTGCAGAAGCCGTGAGGACCTGGGGAATCCAAAAGAAGCCCGAAGAAATCGTGGGGGATACACAAGAATCCGGAGGGAACCCTTACGGATCCAGAAGAATGTTGAGATCCTGAGAGGTCTTCCACAATCGTGAAGAAGCCTGAAGAATCCTGCAGAGTCCTGAGAGAATTCACCGGGATCTTACAGAATCGCGAAACATCCAAACAACAGATCGAGCATTGAAAACCCTTCGGAATCCTGGCAAGCCCAGCAGCCCCAGCAAACCCAGATGGGGGGCCGAAGACCCCCTCTTGGGGGCTGCTGGGGTCGTTGGGATTGCCATTGGCTGGTCAAGTAATTACGCTTCAATGCAGAAGAACAACCACAATCGGTTTAAGACCTGTCACTCTGCGTCGTTCGCGCGTCATCCTGCCCTAAACCTTCGACTCCCCGATGAGAAATACGAAACGGTCCCCTACTTCGATCCCAAGCTACGTTTTCATCAGAAAGAATATCATCGACTCCTCCGCCGTTTGGCAGATATTGGCATCGTTACTTGGACCTTCGTTCATGACCGCACCCTCCTTCGAACTTGTGTTCCTCTTCAGGCCATCGTCTGGGCAGATCCCGTCAGGGTAGCACACAGGACGCCCGCGGGCCCTGACGGGCGGATCGGGCGAGCGGAGCCTCAACCGGCGGGTCGGGCGGGCGCACCCTCACGGGCGGGACGGGCGGGCGGGAGAACACAGCGGGCGTGCTTCAAGGCAAGGGAGCGGGCCGGGCGGGCGGACCCTGACGCGCGGGTCGGGCGGGCGGGCACTGACGGGCAGTTTGGGTCGGGCCCTCTGCATGTTCGGCCGTTCCCCCTTTCGGGGGTGTCTTCCTTACAGCCACGTGCACGGCCCCTGAGTTGAGAACAAATGGGAGAAAAGAGGAGAGAGAGAGAGAGAGAGAACAAAAAAAAAGGAGAGAGAGAGAGAGAGAATTAACAAAACAATTTATAGAAAGAGAAAGAGACCAAGAGAGAAAGAGCCAGGGAGAGAGAGAGAGAGAGAGAACCCAAAAAATAGAGAGAGAGAGAGAGGGAGAGGGAGCGAGAGATAGAGAGAGAGAGAGAGAGAGCGAGAGAGATAACGAACAAGAGAGAGAGGGGGGGAGAGAGAGAGAGAGAGAGAGAGAACAAAAAAAAGGGAGAGAGGGAGGGAGAGGGGAGGAGAGAAAGAGAGAGAGAGAGAGAACGAGGGAGCAGGGGACAGAGACAGAGAGAGAGAGAGGGAGAAGAAAGGATGAGGAAACGACAGGGGAGGCGGCAAAAGGGTGAGAGGAGGATGGAGGGCGAGACAGATTCCGCGGGAAGAAGAGTAAGAGGAGCAAGAACATTGGCAGGCGGACCATAGCGGGCGGATCGGACGGGTGGACCCAGCGGGCGGGTCGGGCGGGCGCACCCTCACAGGAGGGTCGAACAAGCAGACCTAGCGGACGGGCCGGCGGGCGGACTCTAACTGGCGTGTCGGCGCGTCGCGCGGGTTCCCAAACTTGTTGCAGCGCAGCGCGGCGGAGGCAGTCCGCACGCGCGCTCCGGCGGTTCCGGGCAGCGGACGGCGCGAGTTCCCCGGCGGCAGGAGCAGGGGGAGAGAGGCGAAGGCAGCCACGAGGCGGGAGGAGGGGAGGGAGGGCACTCACAGGGAGAGGCGCGCCGCCGCGGAGCGGCCGGGGCGGCCAGCCCAGCGAGTGTTCCAAGCAGGCGAGCGGGCGAAGCCTGACAGGCGGGTCGGGCGGGTGGGTTCCCAAACAGGAGGAGGTGCGGGACCTCACGGGCGGTTGGGGTGGGCGGGCCCTCACGAGCGGGTCGGGCGGGCGGGCCCCCCCCCCGGGGGCGGGCCCGAGCGGGCGGAGCATCAGGGCGAACTTCGTAATTTTCGGAGCGACGATGCTCAGGTCAATGGTGAAGGGATCGAGTACGACGGCACAGTTCCTGGGCGTAGACAGCGAAGCGCCCGAGTAATTTGTCAGAAACTTCCCAGCGATGATAAACGGGGTGCGAGCCCAGGACGGGCACTTCAGTTGAAAATCGCAGCGCCAGACGAAGAGGGCGGATCAGCAGTCGGAGGCGAGGCGAGGCGAGGCGCGCGTGTCCGCCGGCCGGTGGCTGGCGGGGCCCGGGGGGCCGGCGCGGGCGGGCCGGGGCCCGTGGTAGTTAGACGTTGGAGTAGGCAACGAAGTCGTTCTCCAGCGACTGCCAAAATTCAGTGTCTGCTGCAAGTTCCACCCAATTTGTTGTGATATCACCGGCAGTAGTGTAGTGTATGAATCGTGTGATGTCGTCGCTCCAGCGTTTTCGCTGTCCATCATGTCTGCGGCAAGCTTGACGTGGGTCATGGGCGTCGGGGTTCCAGGCTGCAGCGAGCCAAGTCCATCTCTGGCGGGACTGCGTTGCTATGCGTCCTGCCCACCGCCATTTCCGCTTGTGGTACAACGTCGTCCAATCTTCCAAATGAGAGCGCGTTGCCCGATCCATAGCTGCATGGGTCGCTCTGCGTATGAACTCGTCCCACGGTTCGAGGTCAGAGTCGTCGTCGGCGTCGTCGAAGTTGAGATGCCGCTGGATGTCGTTAGAGTTTGTTTGTGGTCCGTCGTCGGGCTGCTCTGTGTCGGAGCTGGCCCCGTCGTCGCTTGGTGTAGTCTGGTTGTTCACTCGTCGTCTGGGGTGTTCACGATGAGACGTAACATGCGTCGCTGGATGCGTCTCAGTGCTAAGAGCATGTCCTTGGTGAGCGTCCACGAGGTGCAGCCATACATGACAGTAGGCGTCACCGTACCATTGAAAAGTCTTAGCCTGCTATGGAGAGGATATCGGCTGCTTGTTAGTTCGCCGTGAAGCTTGTTGAACGCGCCCCATCCCATTGCAATTCGGTTGGAAAGCTCAGATTGGTGGTAGTCGTGGAAGGTCAGCTTCCGTCCCAAATACTTGGTGGTCTCTCCGGCTCTGCGGATTGCAATCGCGTCGCCGTCGATGTCGGCATGACTCGTCGTTTGCCCGTGCCCCCTGCTGACGTTCGTAAGGATTCTGGTCTTGCCAGGGTGCAACTCAAGCCCGCACTTCGCAGCTGTGCGTTTGAGGTCATGCAGAATGCACTTGAGTTGGCGCAGATTTGTCGCGAGCAATAAGACATCATCAGCAAATCGTAGATTAGTAAGAAGCGTGAGCTTTGTGTGCCCCAGCTGTATACCAAATCCCTTTCTTTCCCAAGTTGGTTTGCACTGACGGAACACGTACTCCAGCAGGGCGTTGAAGAGGTAAGAGCTGAGTGGGTCGCCTTGTTTGACACCGCGTTCTATGCTGAAGCTCCTGCTGCTGACGTCTGTCTTCACAGTGGCCACCTGCCCGCTGTAGAATTTCCGTAGTAGGGTGATGTACGGTGTCGGTGTACGGTGTCGGCACGATCAGCAGTCGGAGACTGGGAGGGGAGATCGAAGCGGCAAGAGCGCCCCCCCACTGGGAAGTCGTTTTCTGCTCTGGGTTGGTGTCGTGCCTGCGGGCGAGGCGAAGCCGCGTGGGCGGGCGAGAAGAATCACTCCGCTGTTGCTAGGGTGGGGCAAGACAATTGTCCGAACCTCCCTCGGTGGGCGGGCCGTGGCCGGGTCGTCCCGCCGTGGTGTCCCGTCGCTGTCCCGTCGGTGCCCCGTCGGTGTCCCGTCGGATTCCCGTCGCTATCCCGTGGGTGTCCCGTCGGTATCCCGGCAGTGTCCCGTCGGTGTCCCGTCGGTGTCCCGGCGGTGTCCTGGCGTCGGATTCCCGTCGGTGTCCCGTCGGATTCCCGTCGGTGTCCCGTCGGTGTCCCGTCGGTGTCCCATCGGTGTCCCGTCGGTGTCCCGTCGGTGTTCCATCGGTGTCCCGTCGACGTCCCGTAGTGAGATCGATCGTGAGATCGATCGTGAGATCGATCGAGTGAGACGTTGGTTCCTCGCCCCCAACCCCCTCATCACCCGAACGGTAGTCGTACAGAGGAGGAGGAGGAGGAGGAGGAGGAGGAGGAGGACGAGGAGGAGGAGGAGGAGGAGGAGGAGGAGGAGGAGGAGGGGGGGAGCAGCCACACATTCAGGGACGGTGCAAGGCCGCTCGGCCCTCTCAGCATGATGAGCAGTGCTGGGGTAAGAAAGCATCCGATGTCCGGGAATATTTACACATACAGATATACTTTCGTATACACATGTGCACATATACGGCAGGTTCGTGTCGTGCCGACCCCAGCGTTGGTTTTTGACACCGCAGGGATCGTTCAACCTTGAACGATTGGCCGCTGCCGCAACGTCCGATCGTTCAACATCGATCGATTCTGGGTCGCCGGCGGCGTTCAACCTTGAACGTCCGCGCTGGGGTCGCCGCTGGTCGACACGACGCAGACCTACCGTACATATATCACTCGGCGTGTGAGGTCTGGTATCGTTGGGGCGTGCCTTGGGGGGTCTGTGGAGCGCATAATTCCATTTCTGGGGCGAGCCCCTGGCAAGACGCCTTTGCTATCCAGGCATGAATCCACCAAACCATGCGCAGCGCCTGTGTCTGGATCAGGTCCAGCGAGACGAATTAACGCAACGTGTCTTGTGCAATGCAAGGGAAACCATGGTGTTATTCAACGCGTCCTTTCACATGTTGTTAGTTGTCGGTGCCCCTGTGTCCTCAAACCTTCGAGCGACGCCACGAAACCTCCCATCGGCTCCTCGCCGTATGCACGTGGCAGAAAGGAGGAGGAGCCAGCCGCTCCCCGGGAGTGAGAACAGGCAGCCACAACGCAGCGACTGCCAACACAATCGAAGACGACCTGCATGCTTCGCCATCACTAGCTATAAAAACCAATCAAACACATGGCGCATGCTCAAATGCCGCAGGACACACCAGACCACTCCTCTCCGACCTCCTTGCGCGGTGAAGAATCACGATGGGGTCGTTTCTGGCCTCTGGGGGCCCTCACTGGGCCCCTGCAGGAATGTCAAAAACTGCTCAGGATGACAACTGCGTCCCGGGGGAAGTCGTGGAGAGCTCCTGAAGTCCATATCACGACGCCGGGGTTCTGGGCTCACCCCTCTCCCCTCTCACTCTCCCCCTCCCGTCCCCCTGATCACACGTGAAGGATCAGCCGCAGCTAGTCCAACTGCAAGCATGTCCAGCAGCTTGTGGCCAGCAGCTGGAAGAGCCGAGTTCGGACTGTCACCTGGCCCATCTGGCAATCTGACGGCCGTTGGCAAGAGGCAAAAACTGGCGGATGTCGCCTGCATGGCATGATGGCACCCAAGCACCTAATGTGAAGGGCACCGCACGAGACGGTGTTTGAGACGGAGCTGCGCACTCATGGCGACAGCTGCAACGCTCCCTGGCAGTGTACGAAAAAGCACTCGAAGCAAACGAAGTGACGAACCAAGACCTCCCCCACAGCCGCTGCTGCGTGGTGGTCGTCTGGGACATCACGCGAGGCCATGACTGAGACGGAGCTGCGGCACTCGTGCCGACAGCTGCAACGCTCTCTGGCCATGCCGAACGAGAACAATCGTGTGCACGACGTTGGCGAATCGAGGCCCCAAAAAATCCACGACTGCTGCGTGGTGCTGAGCTGGGACACCGCTCGAGGCCTCTATCGAGACGGAGCTGCGCGCCCGTAGCGACAGCAGCTGCAACGCTCTCTGGAAGTGCACAAGAACACAAAAGGACAAAAACCAAACACCTCGTGCAGGCGACGAACGACTGCCTGGAGATATTTCGATGGGACTTGATGCCAGCTTGATACTTCGATGGAACTTGATTCCCGACGTCGCAAAGTCGTTCATGGCGCGGGCCCCCCTTCCCCCATGGGCTGGCTTTTTGTTACTGCCGGTCCCGGGGCCGGGAAGTGGCCTCCAGCGGCCGAACAGGTCGAATGCCAACAGCCGCACCGATCCTCCCCAACGCCCAGGTCTGAGGGCAGCAGGGGCGAGCTCAGAATCCGACCCCTCTTTTTCTGTCCAGGCCATGTCGCTCCGGAGACCTCGACCACTTCCCCGCGACCCGGGCTCCATCCCAGGTGTACCTGTTCCACGGCCCCGAGACCTGGCCTCGCCATCGCTCGGACGTCCATTCCCTGTGTTTTTTTTCGGTTCCGCGCGTGGTCTTTTCGCCAAGTGCTCAAGGATGCTCCTCGATGGTCCTCGCCGAAGAAAAAACGCACACGTCGGAGCGACGCCAGGTGGCAAGAGGGCCCCCCGAGGCCGAGAGCGGCCAAAACCTTCCGCCGCGTGCTTCTGCACGACGCGGAGCGGTCCGGTGGCAGCACCGCTCCACGGGCGGCGCGCGGCGCTCCGTGCGAGGAGCCGCCGGCTGCGTGCACCGGCTCGCCCCCGCGGCAGGGGGCGTGCCTCCGAACGGAGCCCCCGCGGGGATGACTACCTACCAGACCACCCCAACCCAACCCGAAGACCCGAATTTCGGGTTGGGGGGGGTATGGGTTCCATATGTGTTTTTTCGATGTTCCCGGACCCCCCCCCACTAGAAATCGAGGGTAAATCTGAGCCTTCGGGTTGGGTTGGGGTGGTTTGGTGGGTGGTGAGGGGAGCAGGAGCAGGCCGTGGAGAAGCCGCCTTGCCACCCTTCGGGCGGCACCGCTGGGAGGCCGCCAGCCGGCCGCGGCCCCACGCCCTGGACCCGACAGTGTTGACGTCTGGCTCGCACTTCCGCAGAGCTTCCGCCGACCTCCGCCGCCGCCTTCCGCCAGCCTTCCGCCGAGTGCGAGGTGCGCCGACGGCGGGGCGCCCCTTCTGGAGCGCGCCAAGTCTACATCCGCACCGCTCCTGGCCAAGCCCACCCTCGGCCCAAGATCGGCGCACCCGTCGGTCGGAAGAAGTGGGCAGAAACATGAAGCAGGAGGGCGTTGAAAGTAGATTGGACTCCCGCCCGCCCCCCGGAGAGGAGAGGGACGAGGGAACACCACTCGACTCTGAAAGTGGGAATGCGCCCACCAAGTAGACTGTGACCTGGGCGTCCACGAGCACCTGCTTTCGCCGACCGACGGGTATAACTCTGCGCCCTCCCGCCCTGGAGGCACGAGGGCCTGCACACCCATCCTTGGCCAAGGAATGGCACGGCCAGGCTCGGTGCTGGTGTACAGCAGGAGCCAGTCCACAAAAGACCTTCCACAAGAAACCAAGCCCTGAGACCCCAGAACGACCCTTGATTTTTGGATGGAAACGACCCGCTTTCCCCAGCAAAACCATGGAAACCCAAGAAACCCATGGCACCCTGGAGACAAGCAAAGTGTTTCTTGGCATGGGCCCCACTGCACGCCCGGCGCCCAGCCTCCTATTCGGGGGTTGATAGGGTGCCCCTGGCCCAAAGTGCCCCCAGTTTCCCGCTCAGTTGTGGAGCCCTGGGGGCCCTCTGGCGGGCCTAATGAGGAGTGCTTTTGATGCCGTGGGGGCCTCCCTGGGAATCCTGGCGGCACCTTTTGGGCCAGGGGCGCTTCTAGCAACACCCGACCTACCGATTGTTCGGGAGAGACGGAGCCCGCCGCTTTCCAGAGGTGAAGCAGGCGACCAAAAAACATCGACCCACCAACGCAACCGAACACGGCTGCTCAGGTGGAGGAACAGCCGCGGCCAGCTACACCGCAAACGCGCCCACAGCCTGTGGGCGACTGCCGCGTGGCGTTCGGCTGCGGCTCGCTGCCAGCGGGGAGGACTTGTCGTCAATATCTTCAGGGGCTTCCTCGGGGGGGCCGAGAACACCAATACTGCTGCACAGAACTCTCCCAAAGTGCGTTCTGACCAGAATTTCGAGGCGAATCCAGCCATGGCGACGGCGGCCGCCCAGGAGGCCCGAAAATGCGAAAAACGAAACCAGGGCAGCGGCAACGGCACATGTCTCTCCAATGGGATCTGGGCAAACGGACAGCCAGCGATCTGAGAGGAGGAGGAGGAAGAGGAGGAGGAGGAGGAGGAGAACGAGGAGAACGAGAGGGAGGAGGAAGAGGAGGAGGAGAAGGAATAATAATAAAAAGTAGAATAAGCAGAAGATCAATAGTAATACGAATAAGAAGAAGAAGAAGAAGAAGAAGACTCGGCCTTGCGCGTGGTCAGTGCCGATCTCTGACTGCGCGTGCACCCGTGCAACCAGAGCCCTGCATCGAGCGATCACCGAACGCGTGCGATGAGGTCGATAGTAGCGCGCGCCGTGCAGCCTGACGTACGTACGTGTACCCAGGCAGTCGCAACTCGTGAAACCCCTCAGGGGCTGGGGGCGACTGCCCCACTGGCCTCCAGCGCCGAGCCCTCGTCGCTGCGGGCGACGGGCAGGCCTCCGAGGCACTCGCCCCGCCCCGAATTAGGTGACGTCGCCTGTGGATCTGAGCGGAGTGGGAGAGCGGCGGCGGCACGGCGCTGCATAAGCGGGACGGTGCCTTGAGCAGCGCTGTCTCGATGTCGTAGAAGTCGGAGTCCAGACGAGACCGATCGGCACTCCGCTGGCAAAAATAGCGCGAATCAGGCTGAGCTTCTAAAGACGGCCTTGGGCGCCTCAGAGCACTCACGGGGCGCTCAGGAAATCGACACCGGCCCGCGAACGGGCCCCGAGAGACGCAGCCAGCGAGCGAGGAGAGGCCTCGCGTAGCTGGCGAGTCCTTGCCAGGCCAGGAGAAACCAGGGCGCCGGGGCGGCAAAACAGGGGCGGCGACGAGGACGGAGTTATAGGCGTGCCCTTTCCTATCGCAAGTGCGAGCGGCATGGCATCGGTTGAGGTAAAAGCTGGATATCAATGGAACCATATCAGTCAAGGTCGGTGCTCTCGAATTTGATTTGGCGCAGGTCCAGACGCCAGAAAAGAACGAGCTCATGTACAAAATCGCGCGACCAAGGAGCTGCGCGTCGTCAAATGTAGTGGCAAGTGAGAGCAAGTGTCAATGTAGTGCCCCTTTCCGCAACAAGTGAAACGAGGAGCTCCGTCTCCTTGTCTTGAGACTAATCGGCCCAATGATACCAAAAACCGGCCGATCCCCCGGAGCAATCGCGCCGCCAGATAGCGAGTTTGCGAACTCCAGGACATGAAATGGGTCGCACGTTCTGTCACGCATCAGCACGTCGAAGTCTTCCTCGCGCAGGGACACGCGCACAGAGAGCAGTTCAGGCCCCAGGTCTACTTGGCGTTGCCCCCCCCCTTTGCTCTTGCCGCCCGTCTTCATTTTGTCGATAAGCCGCTGCGCCATCGCCTCCAAGCGCCCCATGAGGGGCGGTGCCGAGCTTGAGCCTGGCGCCCTCCAGCTGCGCCAGCTTGATCATGGCCTGCTCGAGCACCAGCTTGCTCAGCGTCCGCTCTGCCGGCGTGCCCTGGGCCACCGACGATAGGGGCGCGGCCGCGTGGCCCGCGAACCCGAACTGCACTCTGGCGCACTCCTTGTTGCAGCACCTCTTCAGTCGTTAGCGTCTGATCACTTAGCCTAGCTCCGCCGCCGAGCTGCTCGAGACGAACTTCTAAGAAAAGAACAAAGGTAGCACGCGCCTGAGACGCCCCCTGCTCGGCCTTCTCCGAGTCGACCATCGACTTGAACACGCCTCGCGCGATGCGCACACGCGGTGGCCCCAGCAGGGGCTTCGCCGCCCCCGCCGCCTCTGCGCGCTGCTCCCCCGCGCGCCGCCCTGCGGCGACCATGAAGCAAGCCGCGGGGATGATGGGGCGCACCCGCTCCGACGCCGCCAGATCCCTGAGCGCCCGCGCGCGCGTGCGCGCCATCTTGAACAGGATCGACACCGCCGAGGCCGTCATCGGCGGCGTCCGCCCCATCCCCCAAGTGTTGTTTATTCATTGGTGGCGCGCCTGGCTCCTCTGGCTCGGCGCGCTTGTGCTTCTTCAGGGCTCCTCTAAGTCCATGCCCGGGGCGTCGCCCACCGCGCCGCAGGAGCAGGGCGCTGGGAAGAAGCGGGTCGCCCAGCGCGCAATGCAAACGAATGCGAAGTTAAAGATGCACGAGATCTTGGGCCACGTAGCTGCACGCTGGACAATCCAGAGAGAATGGTTGGACCACTTCGGCTGCTGCGTAGCTGCTACGTCCGACGGCGCATCGGTTGCGGGCGCACGATCTCGTCGCATGGCGCTGTTCGTTTTCCCGTGCACCGAGAATCTGGGGGCACCTGAAACACTGATTCGTGACCGTGAGTAAGGCCGCTTCGTTTCGAATGTCATGAACTCTTCCTGCATGCAATTGAAGGGCCTTCATGCTACTGAAGGTGTCGCCGCAAGCGGTCCCGTCTGAGTTTCCCGGGCTGCAGCGGAACTTGCCGGGGCCCTCATGCCCCTCCCCCCCCTTCACCGCCTGACCTCGCGGAGCCTGCTGGGGCCCTGAGGGAGGCGCAGCGGTGTTTGAAAAATAAGTGGCCCTGATTATGGCGAGGTCGATCGCCGCCCAATCGTCGAACTCGCTAGTATAGAATAATCCCAGGAGCGGAAAGTTCTCTGGAATCAAGTCTGCGAACTCCTCGGATTGGGCCCCAGCGAACAGGAGGTCCTCTAGGATCTGTCGGGCCCAGGGGCCAGCCTTCCCATGGAGCGTTCAGTCGGGGTTCATGCTAGGTGCATCATTCGAGGTGCCTAAGATACATGCTCGTACTTGCCCGTGGGCGCCGGGGCATTTCATCCAAGACTGGTGCCAGCGGAGACGACGGAAACGGAGTTCGCCGGCAATGGAAAGGACCTGCCAGTAGTCCCAGACCCTGCGAGAGCTTCACTTCCAAAATTCCCCGCCGTGGTCCTCCGCGCCCTTGACCCCCGGCCCTCTACGCGCAGCCCTCATCATGACCTTGTCGCGGGCCGAAGCGCAGCTCATATCTGGCGCCCGACCCTCCATCCCCGACAAGAGCACCCCCTGGACACGAAAGGGAATGGCCATCCTCATCACGCTGCGCGCAGCATCCTCTGCCAAGAAATGTGAGATGATGCCGGGTCCAGCGCGCTACGCCTGCAGTCTTCTTCCTCTCTCCACTTGCAGCAATCCCTGCGCCGTCAACCAACCGCCCGCGACGCGCAAGCAACGTCCAAAATGGCCAGAGAGGCGGAGAGCACCAGCATGGATGAGACGACGCTGTGCTATACATCCCCTGCCGAAGATCCTAGCCAGAGCGACCCGCTTGCCCTCGCTGAGCCCCGCGCCGACGTTGCCCGGGGAAGACGCCAGCTTAATGCTGCTAACCTGCGCCGGGGCTGCGAGATGCCGCGCCGCCCACAGCCGCCTCCAAACAGTTCGGGCCCTCTCCCTGGGATGACCGCTGTAGTGGCGTCGTCCGCGCGCAGCCTTGCGCCCGCGCCCGTGCTCGCGCAGTCAACCTCCAGAGCCCGCGCGTATGCATACGAGCTCGCCCCCGCCCTCCAACGCAGAAGAGGATCCAGGCCCTTCAAATCAAAATACGGGAGGCCTCTGGCAGGGTTAGGGCGCCCCATGAGCTCACCTGAAGCGGGCCTGAGGGATATGGGGGTCCCGGGGGCCATGATCTGCATCGCCGCCTGCATCGTGTGCATGTGCTGGAATCGGACGTCCTCTGGTAAGGACAGGGCCTCCTGGGTTTCCAAGATGGTGCCCCGCGTGGCGCTGGCGAACGCGTTCGCGGCGCCCTCGTTGACAACGGCATGAGACAAACCTAGTGGCTGGAGCCTCCAAGACGCGCAGGCCTGGACCGCGACGACGCCTCGCGCCGAGCAAAGCCGCGGCAAACATATGGCCAGGCATCTCTGCGTCAAGATGTGCGTTCCAAGCCTTGCCAAAAGGGCAGAACAGGTGCATCCGTCGCTGTCCCAACGGACCCAGCACGCCGTTGCTCTCGCCCAGGCACACGATTCGAGATGCGTCAAAAACCAACGGAGTAGAGCTCGCGCGCCTGAACGAGGCAAGGACGACTAAGAACCGCTCCTTGAATGCTTGAGCCGTAGAAGGTGCAGGGCGCGAGCCGACTCCCCCTCGCTGGAACTTGCCCCACTGGGCGGGGTCGATGAGGATCAGCCAGAGCTCCGAGGGCACGCTCCAGGCCGGGCGTAGCCCGTCGTTTTGGAGCACGGCGAAGCGCACGGCTGATGCCCTGCATGTCGGTGTCCGCCGCCTCGAGGTCCACCATCTGCATCGCGTCGTAGGGCTGCTGGCTCGTCCGCCTGACCTCGTCGCCGCTGAAGACGTGGTCGAAGCGCTCGGTCAGATCCTGCTGCAGGTCGCAGTCGATCGCCGAAAGGCCGCCCTGCCGGGGGGGGGGCCGAAGAAAATCTGCAACGTCCCGGGGTTCGCAATTTTCCTCGCGAGCCTTGAGACATTCGCGAAGTCGTGGGCCCCGCCCTTTGCGAGCCGTCAATTATGAGTCTGTCCCGCAAAGTGGTCGCGCGTCTTCCACGCCTCGTTAAGCTCTCCGACCAGCAGCTCGCTCCGATCCTGGGCGATCTGCTGAGACAGCTGGCGGAGCCGAAAAGTGATGCGAGAGAGCTCCAGCTCCGCGTCGAGACGGACGGCCGACCCCCGTCCAACGCGTTGCTCTCGGCGTCGGCGCCGCCCGGCAAGGATCTCAGACCGTTGTTCTTTCCAGCGTGGACGCCCCGGCCTCCTGCGGCGACGGCCGCGGAAACTCCTCGAGCGCCGCTTCCTTCAGCAGCGCCGAGATGGAGTTCCAGAGCTCGCCTGCGGCACGGCGGGAACGGAGACGCACCCGTTCGCCCTCAGGCAAGGTCATGTTTGACACGTGGATGCGCCGAACCGCCGCAGTGCACTCCACGCCGCCCCCCCCCCCCCCCCGCGCAGCATCCGCATCGTGCCATCAAAATTCCAGCGCTGTCGCGGAGCCGAGGTCGCTTCAAAGCTGTCGTCGCACTCCATGAAATCAGGGCGGCGGTCTCCATCGTCGAGGGCGTTCGCGGGTTGCAAGCGACTGCCCGCGGGACGTAAAACCCGGTGCGCTCGCACGCGCGGTCGAAGGCCCGTCGGAGCGTGAATGAAATCTATCCTCGCGGCGTGACCCTGGGAGCCGTGGAAGGTCGGTCCTGCGGGGCAGTGGGTGTCAACCGCGAACATGGCGGCGTCTCGCAACGTCCGATGCCAGAGCTCGCCCACGAACCCCTCCAACTCGGCCCCGCATGGGCCTGCATGTATGTCGGCTTCTCGGTCCCAGGTCCAGTCAGCGGCGCGTCCAGCTTTCAGCTCGCGGGTCGATCACCCCCTCGCCGTCGAGGGTGTCGTCCGCGCTGTAGCCGAGGTGGTCGTTTAGGTCGACGCCGATGAAAGGGGTACAACGGCTGCCTCTGCTGTTCAAGATGGACTTCGCCCAGCTGCAGAGACCCTGACTAATTAGTTTGCACGTGGGGCGACCTCCCCTGATCGATGGCAGCGTCGGAAAGTAGATAACCATGAACGAAACATCGGCCGACTGCGACTTAAGCCGCACTGCTCCGCACCGCACAGCCAGGGACCCAGGTGGCGTGTAAATCTCGCGAATAAGGTTCCGAGGGAAGCGCTTCTGGCGGAGGAAGATGGAGACCCCGCATCTTTTGTTTGAGGCCCTGGTCCACTCGAAACTGAGCTCACAGTGATGAAGTCAGAGGAAGGGCGAGTGTGTGTCCTCGCACTGACGACGCGAGGTGCCAGGTAGCATGATAGCCCCTATGTTATTGCATTCCGTCGAGACCTCGGCTGCTCGTGTGGCCCCAGCCAAGTAATGAGGATTATATACGCAGGCCCGAAGAATGAAACTGCGACCGACGTCGTCGCGGGCGCGGGCCCCCATCCATGCCCTCGGCGCGCAACACGCGCGGCAGCAAGAAGGCGAGGGCGCTCACGGCGAAGGAGTCAGCGCCTCCGCCCCCTTTCACGGGCGCAGCGAGCCCCCTGAGGGGGAAGACGCGCCGCTGAATCACCTGACTGAGCGCATCTGAAAACTAAGGTGCCGCGGGAAGAAGGGCGGTCGGAGCCGTCGCGGCGGCTGGAGGAGGAGGGGGAGGAAGCGGAGGAGGAGGAGGAGGAGAAATACTGTGCAACCGGAGCTCGTGACGAGTGAGAAATGCGGGGGGTCTCACGCCAAACACCCAGAGCGGCACGCGAAACATAAATCCCGCGCCACTTACATAAATTCATATTATTATTATTATCATTACTATTATTAGTATTATTATTAGTATTATTATTATGCGTATTATTAATATTATTAATATTATTATTATTATTATCATTATTAGTATTATCATTATTATTATTACTATGATTATGAATATTATTATTGTTATTACTATCATTATAATTATTAGTATTATTATTAGTATTATTAATATTATTATCATTATTATCACTGTCAGTATCATTAGTATTAGTATTATTATTGTTGTTGATATTATTATTATTTAAAAAAGAAAAACATGGCGGCCTCGCTTCGGCGGGAGCCGCTCTGGGGAGGGGGGTCCGCGAGTTCCTCTTCGGAGAGCCCGCTGTGGCCGCCGCCCCCTCGCGGTTCGACCTTCGGCCCAGCCGCCAAAACAGGGCCACCGCCAGCCAGAAGCCGCTGGTGGGGGGAGGCGACCGGGGGGGCACGGGCGGGGAGGATTGAACTAGGGGGCCACCTATGAACAGACCTCACCCACGCCCCGGCGCTCTCTGGAAAAGTGGCGGCCCCCCCGAGCAACTGTCGCCGCGGGGGGGGGGGGATTGCCTCCAACGCCCCACGGCCGTGCTGGCACGGGGAGGGCGGGAGGCGCGCAGCAGTGAAAAGGACGGCCGCGCGGACCCCAAATCGAGCCCGCCGCGTGAGCCCAACAACCGCAACCGAACTGAAACAGGCTGCTCCTTGAGCAGCAGTCACCGCAGGGGGAGAATTACCTCCAGTCCCAAGGCCGTGCTAACAGGGGGAGGCGGGCAGCACGCAGCAGTGAAAAGGACGGCCACTGAGGACCCCATGCCGAACACATCGAGCGAGGCCCTTCCCGCCAACAAAGCGAGAGCGCCCCCCTGTGCAACTGTCACTGCAGGAGGAGAATTACCTCCAGCGCCCCACGGCCGTGCAGGCAGGGGGAGTGGACACACGCGCAGCAGTGAAAAGGACGGCCGCGGGGACCCCAGATCGAACCCGCTGCGCAGGTCCAGAGACCGCAAAATAAAACACACACAGTACCCGATGGGGCGCACGAAAGCTTAAATGATAAACACGAACACCCTCGGCATCAGTCCGAGTCAGAAGTCCCCCCTATCCCGCTCCAGCCCCTCCCAGCATCTTCGGACAATACGAGGAGGGAGTAGGTGCAGCACAGGCCATTACCCTACGCTTGCAGTTTGCGCACCCGCTGGGCACTTCCTTGCCCAATGGCCCCTCCTGCTGTCTGTCGCCCCCTCCTCTCTTCTCTCACCGGTACCGCTCCGCTGGGCCGCTGGCCTCTCGGCCCCCCATCGGATGCCGTCCCCCCGTTGGTGGCATGGGGGGGGTATGGGGCCCAGTGTCCGCGTGCGAATGCTAGGCGCATGCCCCTCGCTGGGGCGCTGGCTCGGTGCGGCGCCTGCTCCCGCTCCTCCTCCTCCCGGCCCGCTGCTGCTGCTGCTGCTGCTGCTGGGCCAAATGGGGCATGGGAGATTCTGCACCTGAATTACATCTCACCTGCTCGATTCTCTCTTGTCTGCGTGGTTCACACTGGCTCCGCAGTTAGAATTGCCAGCGCCCGCGAACCATGTTCTGGCACAACAGCGCCTTCTCTACCCAGCCTTGCACACGGACTGCGGGAATTGGAGGGGGCGGGGTACGCTTACGGAGGTGGCGGGGCCGGCGGGGCCCTTGGCTTACGTTAAGCCAGCTTGTGCTACAAGATAGCCACCACCCACAGGCCAGCCTGCACACTGCCAGCCTACAGCACTTCGAGCAGCTGCCTGCCCTTTGACTGTCTGACGGAATAGGGGCTCGTGGCGGAGGGGGAGGAGACGTCCGCTCTACTAAGACAGCCAGCACCGACCTGGTCAGCCTGTCGGTTACAGGGTAGATAAGCTGCTCCTCGGCACGATCCGCAGCACATAGTCAGCTCATTATCACCCCCTCAACCATACCCTTTTTCATACAGCCCAGCCGCTGAACTCTTGTAGTACTACTGGCTGTGTACTGCCACTTTGGCGAGTGAGTAGGGGGTAGGCTTATTGAGCATACCCCACTGTTGACTACGTACAACAGCAAACTTAGTACCTAAAGTGCCACACTCTTTCGCCAGTTACGCTTCGTCTCAGTCGCCGTTTGCTCTGCTTATCTCACTCGGCCACGCAACGTACCTGACCTGTTTTGCTCTGCAAGCACTTAACATGATCGGATGATGCGTCTTTAGGGCAGGGGGTGGTGATGATATGTCACAGGGATATGGGGGAGGATAGGGGCGTGGCGAATATGTTCCCCAAGCGCTGGATAGAGGGTAGCGCACTACGCAGCCCTCATATTTGCCTCACTCCGTCTGCACTCACTCTGCCTATCTCAAGCCTCCAACCTCACCTTACCCACGCCACTGCAGCTACTATTGTCCATTTCTTGCCTGGACTTGTTGATGGCTTCGATGCCCTAGACCTCTCTTCTTTTCAGCTGCTGCCACTACCATTGCACGCATCACGCCCAGTTCTTCACCAGCTTTTAGCAGTCGCCTTTCCCACCGCTCTTGCTTAAGCAATCCGCTGGGCTAGCCAGTACCATATGCGCCAGCCCTTCCATTACACACCGTCTCTCAGCCGTCACCTGTTCTATGTTGCACCTTGACTGTACTTCGGAGGAGGATGTGGCTCTTCAGCTGTGGGATCCTGGGGTGGAGGAGGTTACTCCAGCGGCCTGGCCTGCCTGTGACACCTGCCCACGACGCCGTTCACTGTGCACGTGCATTTCGTTCACTACTCTCATTCCTCTTCCTGATCCGTCTATTACTATGCATTTCGATCTGTCCCTCCTCCTCCTCTCACACCGCCTGGCTGGCGCATAGTTACTCTGTGCCCCCAAGTGCCCTCTTCTTTTCCTGTACTCCCTGTCTGTCCTTTTCTTGGCTGCGCCAGCCAGCTTTTATCTGTTTTTCACTTCGCCTAAGTCAGCGATCTTTTGTGCATCCTAACGCTTCAGGCCCTGACCTTGAGTTCGCGCAACGAAAAAAAGGAGGAGGAGGAGGTGGAGGAGGAGGAGGAGAAGGAGGAGGAGGAGGAGGAGAAGAATCCTCCTGCTCCTCGCCCCACACCTCGACCTGCAGCGTCTCGCCGACCCACCGCGACCGCGCCGCGATCCTGGACCACTTCTCCCAGGCGCGCCGGGACTCCGCCTCCGCGGCGCCGGCGCCGCAGCGCTCCGCGGGCGCCCGAGCGCGCTCCTCCTCGAGGCGCCCCAGGCGCTCGCGGCGCCCCGCCGCGAAGGCGGCGCGGGGGGCGGCCCGCGCGGCCTCGCCGCCCGCCTCCGGGGCCCGCGCGGCGGGGCCCGCGGGGGCCGGCGGGGCCGCCGCCGCGGCCGCGGCGCGCCGCGGCGCGCCGTGCGGCAGGCCGCCCGGGCAGGGAGGGGGAGGCGGCCAGAGCGCCCGCCGGGCCCCGGCGCCTCGGCCGCCGTCGAGCCACCTGGGGCGAGGGGAAGGCCCAGACCTCCTCGCGTCGAGGAGAAATCACGACGAGGGGTTTTTGGCTCCTTTCGGCCTTTGGGGGGCCCTTCCCGGGCCTCGGGGCCGTCAAAGAAGGATTCGGGAGGGAGAACCGGTCCTGGGGAAGGGGTCCAGGCCTCTGGGGGTGGACGTCGTGAAAACATCACGGCGTCGGAGGTCTGGGGAGGCGGGCGCGGCAGGGCGGCCTCGCGCGGCAGCTCGCGCGGGCCCCCCGGCGCGGCACGCCGCATCGGAGGCGGGGGCGCCCACGCGCGACCTGAGAATTACGTGGGCGGCTTGCGCGCGGGGGTCCGCGCAGCCGAGCCCGTGCGCTTGCATCGCTCAGGAGGAGGAGGAGGAGGAGGAGGAGGAGCAGGAGGAGGAGGAGGAGGAGGAGGAGGAGCAGGAGCAGGAGGAGGAGGAGGAGGACCTGTGGGCCATGACCTCGTCGGAGGATGCGCGGGCGCCCTCGTCCCTGGCGAGCATGGCCCTCAGGAAGTCCCTGCAGGTGGGGTCGACCTTGGGGAAGTTGAGCTCCCAGTTCTTCGTGCGGGTCTCCTCGTCGTCCCTGAAGGGAAAGGAGCCCTTCAAGAGGCCGTACATCGTGACGCCCATTGCCCAAACATCCACCTTCTGGCCGTAGTCCCCCCTGAGGATCTCCGGCGCCCAGAACCTCCTGGTGCCAACCTCGTCGCTAAACCTCTCACCTGGCCGCACGTACGTCGAGGAGCCAAAATCCGTGAGCGCGATGCGGCACTCGGGATCGGCTATATCTTTCCTGTCCATGAGGAAATTGTCACCCTTGACGTCCCTGTGGGCGATGTTCCTCCCGTGAATGTAGCAAAGGGCTGTTGCCATCTGCAAGCTAATGTGCACCACCGAGAAGCACTCGAGGTTGCCTTTCCTCCTCATGTGACGGTGCAGTCCATCGATGAGGGCACCCCCCGAATACTTGTCCATCACGATGCACGCGAAGCACTGCTCGAAGAAGACCCCGTGGAACCTCACGATGCACTCGTGGTGCTGCACGGCCTGCATGAGCTCAGCCTCCCTCTTGATCTGGTCGATCGGCGTCTCCACCTTGTCGACCAGCTTCACCGCGACCGTCGTGCCAGCCTCTCTGTGACGCGCCGCGTACACCACGCCGTACGCGCCCTCCCCGAGCATGTCCCCAACCTCGTACTCCTCCGTGAGCCGCCTGCCCACCTGGCGCCACGACGGCCCCGGCACTCCAATGACCCAAGCGGGGGCCAACAGACAAGCCCCATCCCTGGCGCGCGGAGCGCGCCAGGGGCGGTGCCGGAGGCGCCGCCAGGGCAGGGACCAGCGCCGATCCAAGAAACCCGCGCGGACCTCCGAGTTGCTATGTTCATGTCATCGCTTAATTAGCTCTCTAAGACAGACAGGCCTCCCTGGCGGCTGATCAGAGCGGTCAAGACACTGGCCGAAACGCGCTGCGCACTCTGGTCGTCGTTTTGGCCCAGACATGGTCTGCCCAGCCAGCCCCCGCGGACCCCAAACCTCCAGCGCAGTGAGTCTTTTGTTCGCAGCGCGAGCCCTAGAACTCGAGTAGGAGATCGGCTACAGAATCGACGCATCCCAACATTCCCATTATTGAAAATACCAGCAAGTCGGCAAATATGTAGAATGCCCGTAGATATGCGAAAATGCCACGCGCTGTCACAAATTCTTATAGACGTGCAAGTCTGGGGTACATCACTTATGTAGTTGATCTCCTACGCGAAGAAACCTCGACCCCATCCTGGCGCCGCGCACAGGGAGGGGGGGGCACGAGGCGGGGGGGGGGGGGGGGGGGGGCTTCTCATCAGGCAGGGGCCGCCTCGCCAGGCCCCCCCTGGGTCTTCTGGGGAGGCTCCCGAGAAGCCGGGAGGGCGTCCGAGAAGACCTCCCCGCATGCTCAGAAGCCCCCCCCCCCACCTTCTTGAAGGCCACCACCCTCGCGAACGCCCCTCGAGTGTGAGATCGACTACAGAGCTGATGCGCCCCAGAACTGCTCTTTCGCCGAGAAGGTTAACAGATCTACGGATATGTGGTGTTCCTCTGGCGGATTCGACGAGAAAGTCAAGTTTGGGGCAACTCACTCAATTCTAGAGCCGATCTCCTACAGCCGGACCGCGGACAGAAGAACATCCTTCAAGAAAATGAAGCCCTCCGCCAGCCAAAGTGAAGAACGATCGAGGGTGCCCTCTCCCAGGATGCACAATCGCATCCAACAAGAACATCCAACGAGTACGGAGAACATCAGGTCTGCGGCGAGCGAGGGGGGGAGGTGAGAAGGAGAAGGCCCTCTAAGAAGGCGGCGGGTCTTCTCAGAATCCCTCGCGCCTTCTGAGAGGCGTCCTGCGTCTCTGTGGCAGGCCCTGAAGACTTCTCAGGAGGCCCGGGGATCTCAAGTCCGAGCCTTCTGAGGCCCTCGCCCCTTCTCTCCCTCCCCCCTCCCCCCCCGGGCTCGCCGCCGACTGGGGCGCCGCCAACTAGGCCGCGAACCGACCTCGATCTCACACCACGGCCCGGGCGCACTCGAGCCCCCTCTAAGCATCCGTTCAACCGATCCCCAGCCCCAGCGGCGTGGCCTGGGCCCCACTGGCCGATTTACCGCCGTGGCTGGGGATGCAGGCCGTCCCCTTCGGGTTTCGAGGGGTGCATCCCCAACGGAGGGGGGGGTACTTTGGTGGGGGCCTCGAAGGGCATGGGGATGGGGATGGAGGTCGGTGAAACGATGCCGAGACTGGGCCGCGGGAACGACCTCGACCTCACGCCTCGACCGAGACCACGCCGCGAAGCGACCTCGACGGCGAAACGATACCGAGACTACGCCGCGAACCGGCCTCGACCTCACACCTCGATCTCTCGGGTCGGGCGAAAGGGGGGGATAGCAAAGGGGGGTTTTGAGAATCAGCTCACGTAGCTGATTTTCCCGGCGCCCCCCGGCGCCGGAGGCGGCCATGTACCGAGGAATGGGCCCCTCGGTGGGGCCGAAACCAGCTGCATGCAGCAAATTTCGTACCCCCCCCCTTTCTCAATCCCCCCTTTCGTCCAGCCCGAATCTCACCGCTCGGCTCTAAAACAGAGCTAGGATCGGGATAAATCGCTCCAGAGCGTTCCGGAGCGCTCTCAGAGCGTTCCGGAACGCTCTGGAGCGGCCGCGGCGCCCAATACATCCTCCAAACCCGCCGATTCTCAGAGATTTCGAGCTATCCCGATCCGATTTTGTCCCGATCTTCGCGTCGTTTTAGGCTCGACCGCGACGAGGAGGCTGCTCCGGCCCCGGTGCCCGCCGGCCCTCCCCGCCGCAGCCTCCTCGCCGCGGGCCGCTCCGGGCCGCCCGCGGAGGCCCGCGCCGCGGGAGCACGCCCGCGGCGCCTCTGCCCGCGGCGCCCCGGAGCACCCTGCTTCGATTGGCGGCGCGCACGAGGGGGGGCAGGGGGAGGGGGAGGGGAGGGGGAGGAGGAGAGGAGGAGGAGGGGAGGAGGAGGAGGAGGAGGAGGAGGAGGAGGAGGAGGAGGAGGAGGAGGAGGAGGAGGAGGAGGAGGAGGAGGAGGAGGAGGAGGAGGAGAGGTGATGAGGGGATACAAAGGAGGAGGAGGAGGAGGAGGAGGAGGAGGAGGAGGAGGAGGAGAAGGTGGAGGAGGAGGAGGAGGAGGAGGAGGAGGAGGAGGAGGTAGAGGAGGAAGAAGAAGACAAATAACAAGAAAGAAGCAGAAGAAGAGGAGGAAGAAGAAGAAGAAGGGGGAATGCTTCTCAGGAGGAGGCTGCTTCTCAGAGGAGGCGCTGGCCTTGCATCTACAGGCAGGGTACCGCGCCTTCTGAGAAGCAGGGGTGCTGCTAAGAAGCCTTCCCCTCTCCCCCTAACCCCTCTCTGCGCGTGGCCGCTTCGAGCTTGGCCACACCCCTGAGTTTGACAGGCCCGAGGCGATGGCGATCTGAAAAATGCACCCTCGGAACTGGAGGGGAGCCTTCAGACCGACACCGCGACGCGGTGCGGTGAGGGCACTGGATGAGGAACCATTGGGCAAGGAATCCAGGGTCTGGAAGCTGGTGGAACTCCTAACGTGGATTGACCATGGGGTTCGTTCCTAGCGGTTCCCCGCAGAACGAATGCTAGCCAGTATCCGCCCCGCGTGTGACTAGAAGGTACATACCCCACGGGCCAGGTCGCGAAAACCGTCCGACGAGAGCAGCCGCCGCCACTGCCGCCCCTGCCGACAAGGAACCCTCCAGGGTCTGAAGCCGCCCCCGTCACTTTCCTTCACAGACGCTCCCACCGCACGGCCAATCATAAGTATAGAGATACAGTCGGGGCGTTGACCTAAGGAACCCTAAGTAAGGAACGAGGCCCCTTTTCTCCATGAGTTAAGCTTCGAACTCCGATCGAAGACCTAAGGAAAACCTAAGGCGAGCTGCGAAACAACTAAGGAACACTGAGCCCCTCCCAAACGAAAAGGGCTCCTTCGTCGGCGCCCCGCCTGTACGCTGCAGGCTCACCGAGGAGACCCGGGCCGAGGCGTGGCGGGACCAGTGCGGGCCCTGTGCTCCGACGGCGCCTCTCGTTCGTGACGTGGGCCCCCCGCGAGGACTTCCTGCGCCATCGACCGTGGGCCCCTTGTTGTCCGTTGGCCTTGAGCGGTCTTCGGCGATCTTCTGACGATCTTCGGCGGCTTCGGGCTGTTTTCGGCGGTTCTGGAGGTGTTCGGCGGTTTCCAGCGCGAAAGCTGGATGCTGTCCTCGGCCGTATCCGGCGGTGTTCGGCGGCTTCTGTCGGGACATCATGTTTTTGGCGTGGAACCAGGCGCCCACGATCGAGCACCTAGGAATTCGACTAAGAAGAAGGCACGAAAATGGTAAATTCGGACAGGGACAGATCGGGAGTCTCTGAAAGTTGGCGGGCATGGAGGATGTATCGGGCGCCGCAGCCGCCTCGGAGCGCTCTGGAGCGCTCTGAGAAGAACCTGGGACGCTCTGGGACCTGATCGATACCCTCCCTAGTGGCCAGCTTCCCTGTTCGTATTTGTTGGCGGCCAGAAGGCTGGGAAGCGACCTCCCTGGGCCGAGAGCTGCTACATAGCGCCAGTTGCGAATTTTGGTGCGGCGCCCAGATCTGAAGGGGCCTGGACGTCCTTCGCGGCCGCCCAGTCCGCATCGGAAGGAAGCCCGCGAACGAAGGAGTGAATGCACATGGCGGCGGGAACAGGCTGCCCTCCGGGCTGCCCCTGGGCCTTCGCGAGCCCACACAAAAAAATGCCGGCTACGGAAGGAGAAGGGAAGACGGTAAGGTGCAGGGGGAGTCAAGAGCGACGAAGATATCCACATTCATGCCCGCCCCGTCTGGATACGGAGGCGAGATCCCATAGATGCGCGATCGCATGGACACGCCCCGCGCGGGGCATGAGCGAAAAGCCGCCCCGTATCCAGATGGGGGCGGATGAGGAGCCCGGACCGCAAGGCCGCTCGCTGTGTCCCCCGACCACGAGGAAGGCTGGAGCAGCCCAACTCTCTTTAGAGGAACAGGAAAAAACATCCACCACCGTGCCCATGGCACGAAGTGGAGTGCCCCACGGCTCACAACTGTGCTGGTGCTGCAGCAAGGATTCTAAATTCTCCAGGGCATGGAAACCTGGTTTCCCGGGCGCTCCTGGGAATTTCCGGGAGCTCTCCAGGAGCGCTTGGGGTGTGTCGCGTGCGTCTTCTGGAAGCCAGGACGGTCCCAAGACGGGCCCAGAGGGACCGAGGAGGCCGCGAAAAAGGCCCAAGAGAGCCTCGAGTCGCCTCAGCCCCCAGATCCTCAGGATGGCTTGAAAACAACCATAAATGCCCCAAAGAAGCTCCGCCCCAAGAGCACTCCCCAGATGTCAAAATCATTGATTTTTCCATTGGTTTGTGGAATGACTTTAGCCTTCTCGCCTTTTTCAGCGTTTAACGCTCCAAGGCGGCCCCAGGACTGCCTAGGAGGCCCCGAGGAGGGCCCCAAGACGCCCCAAGAGAGCCCCAAGACGGCCCAAGAGGCCTCCAAAACAGCCCAAGAGGCACCCAAGAGGGCCCCACGAGGGGAAGCACGAACAGACATGTCGAGCCCTCCCCCCCAAGAGACCCCCCCCCCAGAGGCTCCCGAGGTCACCCAAGACGCCGCAAGAGGCCCCCAAGAGGCCCCCAGAGGCCCCCAAGACCCCTCCAAGAGTCCCCCGAGAGGCATCCCAAGAGGCCCTCATATGCATTCAAGAAGCCTCTAAACCACAGCCCAGAACGATGGCGGGATGGGCCGAATGCCACTAGATCCGCCGCCCCCTGTCGATTCATCGCAGGGGTGCCTGGCTTGCTAAACCTCTCGGTTTTGGTTTTGGTTCTTTTCCAAAAGAACTCCCCATGGGGCTTCGGCCCGTCCCGCTGGGGTCCCGGGAGGATTGCCACGGAGCGGGATTTCCCCAATTGTCTTCCAAGATAGCTCAAGATGGCCTCCAAAATCCACGTTGGCCCAAGATGGCCTCCAAGATGGTCCAAGATGGCCTCCAAGTCCGTCCAAGAGAGGAGGAGATGCCTCCAAGTCCGCCCAAGAAACTTCCAAGGCGGCCCAAGAGGTGCCCAAGAGGCCTCCAAGACGGCCCAAGATGCCTCCAAGAGGTCCTCCAGGAGGGCCCAAAGAGGCCAAAATCATTGATTATCCTTAGGTTTCAAAAGTTGTTCGTATTTGCTCCTTTTCGGCTTTCCGACGACCCAAGACGGCCCAAGAGGCCCCCAAGATCGCCCCCACAGCGCCCAAGAGGCCTCCAAGATGGCCGCATGACGACCCAAGAGGCCCCCAACACGGCCCCAAGAGGGCACAAAGACGACCCAAGAGGCCTCCAAGACGCCCAAGATGGCCCCTAAGACGGCCCTGGAGCACCCCAAGAGGGCCCCAAGTCGGCCCAGAGAGGCCCTCCAAACGGCTTCCGACGGCATTAGATGGGCCAGGAAGGAACCCACCAAAATGGCCGAAGTTGGCTCAAGGCCAGAAAAGGCTACAAACACTGATTTTCCTTAAGTTTTGATGGATTTGACATTTGCTTCTTTTCGGCCTTCCGAAGGCCCGATAGGGCCCACGAGCCCCCAAAGATCGCCCAAAGATAGAGGGCCCCAAGTCGGCCCACAGGGGCCCCCCAAACGGCTTCCGACGGCGTCGGCCGGGACTGGAGCCCACCAAAACGGCCGAAGATGGCCCTAAGATGGCCTAAGACGGCCCAGGAGGCTTTCAAAAGGGCCTCCAGGGAGGACCGGAAAGGCCAAAATCATTGATTTCCCATGAATGTTTCATGGATTGTGGCATTTGCTTTTTGTTCGGCCGTCGGAACGGCCCAAGTGACGGCCCCAAGAGGCCCCTAAGATGGCCCAAAGGCCTCCAAGACGCTCAAGATGGCCTCCAAGACGGCCCAAGAGCCCTCCAAGACGTCCTCCAAGAAGGCTCGAAAGGGTCAAAATGGCCTCCAGACGGCAAATATGACTTTCAAGATGCCCACGTGTTCCCCGAAGGCCTTCCAAGCCGATTCGGGGAATACATGGTCCGATAGCTTGGCAGGTCTGGCCTCAACGTTCGGCCACATAGGCGCTTCCAAGAAGGCAGGGGGCGGCGGTGATTCGCCGTAGGCGTCTTCGATCCGCCGCCCCCTGTTGATTTATCACAGGGGTGCCTGGCGTGCTAGATCCTCTCGGATTTGGTTTTGGTTCTTGAACTCCCCCTGGGCCTCCGGCGCGTCCCGGCGGGGTCCTGGGATGGTGCTCAATCAAGAAAAAATCCTCCAAGATGGCTCAAGATGGCGCCAAGATGACCACGTTGGCCCAAGATGGCCTCCAAGATGGTCCAAGATGGCCTCCAAGTTCGCCCACGATGGTCCAAGACGGTCTCCAAGACGGCCCAAGAGAGTCCAAGACGACCCAAGACGGCCCAAGAGGCCCCTCAGAGGCCTCCAAGACGGCCCAAGAGGCCTCCAAGAGGTCCTCCAGGAGGGCCCGAAGAGGCCAAAATCATTGATTGTCCTTAGGTCTTTGAAGGATTTTGGCATTCGCTTCTTCTCGGCATTCCGACGGCTCAAGACGGCCCAAGAGGCCCCCAAGATCGCCCCAAGATTGCGCAAGAGGGTTCCAAGAGGGCCCCATGACGATCCAAGAGGCCTCCAAGATGGCCCCAAGAGGGCCCCAACACGGCCCAAGAGACCTCCATGACGCCCAAGATGGCCTCCAAGACGGCCCCGAAGCGCCCCCCAAGAGGACCCCAAGTCGGTTCAGAGAGGCCCCCAAGACGGCTCCCGACGGCGTCAGACGGGCTAGGAACGCCATAAGACGGCCAAAGAGGCCCCCGAGAAGCCCCAAAAGGGCCCCAAGAGGCCCACAAAAGGCCCCAAGAGAGCCCAAGATAGCCCCAACATGACCTCCAAGACGATCCTAAGATGCCCCTTATCGAGCCCAAGAGTGCTTCAAGAGGCTCCGAAAAGACATCCTCCCCCTTCTCCTTTTCTTCCTTCTCCTCCTCTTCCTCTTCCTCCCCCACGTCCCCGAAGGCTTTCCAAATCGGTTCGGGGAACACATAGTCCGATAGCTTGGCCAAGCTCTAGCCCAGCTGTCGGCCACATAGGCGCTCCCACAAGGGCAGGGCAGCTTGGCGAAGCTCTAGCCCAACTCTCGGCCACACAGGTGTTTCCAAAAAGGCAGGGGGGGCCCAACGATGCGCCACATAAGCACTTCCCAAAAGGCAGGGGAGGAAGGTCCCATCCCTCTCCTCATTCTCGTATTCCTCCTCTACGTGTTCCCCGAAAGCTTTCCAAGCTGGTTCGGGGAACACTTTGCCCCAGTGCTTTAAGCCGTCTTGGCCAGTCCTGCTTCGAACCAACTTCAAACATGCATGTACACATGAAATGGCTTCCTGAGTACGGAAGAATGACCCACGAAACCAAGGTGAATATCACCTTCTGCCTCCTTCTTCTCCTCCTCCTCCCTTCATCGTCGTCATCTTCCTTCTCTTTTCCGCTGACCCGTCGTCATCTTTTCCCGATGCACCCCGTGAATCGCCGTAGGCATGTTCCTTCTCTTTTCCGTTGGCCCGTCCCGCCAGCTGCCTGCCTCATCGGCTTCTTCGATCAAGATGGCCCAAGATGGCCTCCAAGATGCCTCCAAGACGGCCAAGATGGCCTCCGAGACAGCTAAGATGGCCTCAGGACGCCTCCAAGACGGTCCAAGATGCACCCAAGACGGCCTAAGATAGCCTCAAGATGGCCCAGGACGGCCTAAGAGGCTTCCAAGGGGCCTCCAAGAGGCCTCCAAGACTCTTGGGCCTCCAAGAGGTCCTCCAGAAAGGCCCGAAGAGGCCAAAATCAGTGATGTCCCTTGGGTGTTTGAAAGATGTTGGGAGTTGCGCCTGCTCGGCCTTCCGACGGCCCCAGGCGGCCCAAGAGGCCCCCAAGGTCGCCCCAAGACTGCCCTAGAGGCATCCAAGATGGCCCCATGACGACCCAAGAGGCCCCCAAGACGGCCCCAAGAGGGCACCAAGATGGCCCAGGAGGCATCCAAGACGCCCAAGATGGCCTCCAAGACGGCCCTGAAGCACCCCAAGAAGGCCCCACGTCGGCCTAGGGCGGCCCCCAAGGCGGCTTCCGACGGCGTCAAACGAGTCAGGAGCGTCCAAGACGAAGGAACAGTGCCCAACGGCCGCCCTCAAGAGGCCCAAGGAGGCTCCAAAGAGGCCTCGAAGAGGCTCCCAAGAAGCTCACAGCAGGCCCCAAGGGTGCCCCAAGAGACCCCCACGAAGCCTCATCCTCCTACTCTTCCTCTTGCTCTAAACCGACTCGGGGAACTCGTGAACCGACAGCTTGGCCAAGCTCTAGCCCAACTCTCGGCCACTTGTGTGCTTCCCCCCAAAGGCAGGGGGCGGCGGTGATTCGCCGTAGGCGTCTTCGATAAGGAGCAGCGCAGGTCTCATCATAAGCTGACAGGGAGGCTGCGAAGCAGCACGGCTCTCTTTACAGATCCAAAAACGCCGAAAACAGAAACGTTCGGAGCTGATCAGGGCAACTCGCCTGGGCATCGGCAGCGTTGCTTGACGGGCTGGTGAACACACGCGATTCGCCAAGACTATACAACAGCGCGTGCCTGCTCCCCGCCCGGCCTTCCCCTCGGACACCACGGCGAGCGGTGCTGCTCGAGTCGCTAGCTGCTTCGGCTGCTGATGGCTGACGTTTGCGGCTGCTTACTGTTGCTGCTTGCGGCTGAGTGCTGGGAGCCGTTCC